GTCCCCGCAGAAAGCGACGGGTGCGGTCTGCGGGAACGCCGACGCCTCCCACGACGGCGAGCTGGCCGCGCTGCGCATGCGCATGAGCCGCCAGGAGGAGCTGCTGCGCGCGCTGCAGAGGCGCGCGGCCGAGGGAGGCGCGCTCGCGGGCGAGGTGCGCGCGCTGCGTGAGCACAGCCAAGGCCTGAACGCGCACCTGGGCCAGCTGCGCGCGCAACTGCAGCCGAAGGCGGAGGCGGAGCCTGACCCGGGGGCGGAGCCTGCTGCCGCGCTCAGTCTGCTTGCGCAGCGCGCGCTGCACGCCGAGGCCGAGGTGCGCCGGACGGCGGCGCTCCTGCAGCAGATGGACGCGCAGCTCCGCGAGCATGCGCAGCTCGTGAGCCAGCATAGCCGCCTCCTGGACCGCCTGCAGCGCGCGTGCGCCGACCCGGACCGGGGCCAGCAGCAGGTACCTCCGGCGCGCGATCACTGGTCCTAAATCTGAACCGGTGCCTGTGGCGCCACCCTCTGCTTTTCCGGGAGAACGGCTGGGGAGAGCCTCCTCCGCCCCGCAGAAAGTTATTCGCAGGCGCCGAGGCTCATGCTCACTGTCACCATACACAAGGAGAGCATATTGGTTTTTTTTTTTTTTTTTTTTTTTTTTTCCGAGGCAGGATTTCTTTGCATAGCCCTCCCTGTGTGTTCTGGAACTTGCTCTGTAGACCAGGCTGGGCTCAAACTCACAGAGATCCACCTGCCTCTGCCTCCCGAGTGCTGGGAATAAAGGCGTGCAACACCACCGCCTAGCTTTTGATACTTTTTTTTTTCTGATCTTGTTTTTAAAGATTTCCATTTTAATGTGTGTGGGTGTTTTGCCTGCACATATGTATGTCTGTACCACGTGTGGGTGTGGAGTGTCCAGACAGGCCAGAAGTGATCTGGAACTGGAGTTACAGACAGCTGTGAGTCACTATGTGGGTGCAGGGAATTGAACTTAGGTCCTCTGGAAGAGTGCTCTTAACGGCTGAGCCAGCGTCCAGCCCCCAAGACAATATATTCCTGTAACTATATGAGGCTTCTGAACTTTGGGCTATTGGGCTATTTCTGTCATCAGGATTCTTTTTTTTTTTTTTTTTGAGATGGACTCTCATCGCTTCTCGGCCTTTTGGCTAAGATCAAGTGAGATGGACATAGCCCAGGCTGGGTTCTAACTTCTTCGTAGCCGAGGATGACCTTGATTCCCACACCCCGCCTCTTAAGTGCTGGAATGACAAACATCAGACCACAGGCCTGGCTTGGACTGTGTTTTCATTCCTGGTGGTTTTGTTGTGTCCATGGCCTCCTGCACGTGAGGCAACTGCTCTACAGTTGAACCAACCACACCCCCAGAGTTGGCCCTCAATTTTGGATTCGTGATGGTTCTGCAGATTTTCCTACATTGTTTAGGGTCCATGTGCTGGAATTCAGCAGATCTGTGCAGTGAAGCTGTGACCGACAGCGGAGTAGGACTCGTCCAGCTTTCTCTGAGTGAAAGAGCACAGAGGAAAGGCAGGCGTGGGACACAGCTGTAACCCCTAGGACAGGAGGCTGGAGGGCTGTCCCTAGGACAGGAGGTGGAGGCTGGAGGGCTGTACCTAGGACAGGAGGTGGAGGCTGGAGGGCTGTCCATAGGACAGGAGGTGGAGGCTGGAGGGTGTCGCAAGTCCCAGGCCAGCCAGTTGGAGTGAGACCCTTTCTGAAATAAAACCCAAAACACAACAAAGCAGGATTGGGAAACAGTTCAGAAGAGTGCTTTGTGCGAGCATGCACACCTGAGCTCCCATCCTCAGAACCACAGAAAGCCTGGGCCTGTGTGTGTGTGTGTGTGTGTGCCCCAGGGCTGTGAGGGCCTGCATGTGTGTATGTGTGTGTGTGCCCCAAGGCTGTGGTGGGCCTGTGTGTGTGCCCCAGGGCTGTGGGGGCCTGCCTGTGTGTGTGTGTGTGCCCCAGGGCTGTGGGGGCCTGCATGTGTGTGCCCGAGGGCTGTGGTGGGCCTGTATGTGTGTGCCCCAGGGCTGTGAGGGCCTGCATATGTGTGTGTGCTCCAGGGCTGTGGTGGGCCTGCATGTGTGTGTGTGTGCCCCAGGGCTGTGGTGGGCCTGCCTGTGTGTGTGCTCCAGGGCTGTGGTGGGCCTCTGTGTGTGTGTGCCCCAGGGCTGTGGGCAGATGAAGGTTTACTGGGGCTTGATGGATGCCAGGCCAACTCAAGTGCAGTGAGAGACCCCATCTCTAGGGAACAGGGGGAATGATGGAGCAGGAGACCAGTGCCCTTCTCTGCCCTCCATAGTTTGCGTACACGCCTCGCCAGCAGAAGTCCAGAGTTAGGCTTTTGGTAGGCAGTGATAAATCTGAGGCACTGCCCTGCCTGATTTTCTGTTTATCTAGGTGGGAGATTTGTTCTTTGACCCTGCCTGCCCCCCCCACTCCCCATGCCAGGGGATGCCTGGCCTCCTCAGCTGAGGGGTTAACTATGTCTGACTGTATGGTCCCAGGTCCTGCCACTGCCTCTAGTGCCTTTGGTTCCTCTGAATCTAGTGGGCAGTGCTGGCAACACCAGCAGGAAGCTGGACGGAACCCCAGAGAACCAAAGAGATCAGAACTTGAGGCAGCAGGAGCTCCTGTCTCCTCCCCCACCTACTGGGCACCTTGCTGTTTCCACCAGGCCAGTGGGTAAGTCGAGGCAGGCCCGCTGGGATGTGCGTGAGATGATGACCCAGGGGTTCCGGTGCCATCTGGGTAGATGGAAATTCTAGAGTAGTGGGGACCAGGGGAGATGAGGGACAGGAAACTAGCCTGTGACAACAGCCAGGAGATGTGGTCACCGGCAGAGCACCAAGGTCTTCCGTAGCCTCCTGGCAGTACGAAAACAAAACAAGACCAGTCCTCTTTTTTTTTTTAATCAATTTATTTTTTTATGTGTATTGGTGTTTTGTCTGCACATATGTCTGTGTCAAGGTGTCAGATCTCGGAGTCACAGACAGTTGTGAGCTGCCACGTGGGTGCTGGGAATTGAACCTGGGTTCTCTGGAAGAGCAGCCAGTGCTCTTAACCACTGAGCCACCTCTCCAGCCCCAACCAGTCCTCCTAATATAGTGAGAAATTCGAAGAAGAGAAAATAGGCATGGGTATGTATTCTATGAGGGCATGCGGGTTAGGACTCTGCTTTGGTGAGGAGTTGGCTCATAGGACCATGACTTTTGAGAGAAGAAACGGTAAGAAATGGCTGTTCCCCAGAGAGAGAAAGAAGATGGCTTTTATCTGGGTAAGAACTGGTGAGTCAGGGCCCTGATCCAGCAAGGGCCTGGGTGGCTCAGGCTGTACCTTGTCACAGGTCCATGGAGGGACTGCGCAGAGGCTCACGGGGCAGGTCACAGGCAGAGCGGAGTGTATGAGCTGCGGCTGGGCCGGCGCCTGGTATCTGTGTGGTGTGAGCAGCAGCGGGAAGGTGGAGGCTGGACCGTTATCCAGCGGCGGCAAGATGGCTCAGTCAATTTCTTCACCAACTGGCAGCACTACAAGGTGGGTGCTTGTGGCGGGGGTGCCCGAGGCTGGCCGAGGATACCCCATCCTGACCTCCTGTTCCTCCCGCCCTTCCAGGCAGGCTTTGGGCGGCCAGATGGGGAATACTGGCTGGGCTTGGAACCCGTGCATCAGGTGACCAGCCGTGGGGACCATGAGCTGCTGGTACTTCTAGAGGACTGGGGGGGCCGTGGGGCACGCGCCCACTATGACAGCTTCTCCCTGGAGCCTGAGAGTGACCACTACCGTCTGCGGCTTGGCCAGTACCACGGCGATGCCGGAGATTCCCTCTCCTGGCACAACGACAAACCTTTCAGCACTGTGGACAGGGACCGAGACTCCTATTCTGGTAGGGAGAACTTTTATTCTGGTGGGAGGGCAGGAAGATGGGATTGCTAATCTGGTTAGGGTGAAAAGCGGTAAAGTCAAATTTTCCCTTCTGAGAGGTGCAGATGGCTCAGCAGTTGAAAGCACAAACTATTCCTCCAGGGTTCAGTTCTCAGCACCCACACTGGGTAGCTCTAGTCCCAGGGGATCCATACTTCGAGCCTCTGTGGGTACCTACACTAAACCTAAGTGTCAGGTTTCCTTCTGGTGAGCTGGGTGTGGTGGCACAGGCCTGGAGTCCCAGCTCTAGCAGATGGAGGCCAGAGGGGCGGGAGTTCAAGGCCAGCCTGGGCTACAGGGTGCCCTAAGGTAAGTTCTTCAGCATAAGGGGCACAGGGAGCCCCGATTCCTTCTCTGCTGACTAAGACCTAGAGACCTTGCACTGTGAGAAGGGCTGAGTGAAAGCTAAGCTTCTTTCAGGGGGGGGGGTGGAGGGAGCAGAGTTGTTCCTCCTTCCCCCTGCCCCGCAATCTAAGCACACTACCACTGAGCTATATCCTAGTCCACATTTGAGATACGATCTCACTGTGGAGCCCAGGCTGGTCTGAAACTCTAGACCCTCTTCCTTCGGCTCCCACATGTTGAGATTACAGGTGTGTGCCAGTCCACCTGGGATAAACCATCTGGAAACAGAAGCCCCCCCCCCCCCAAAGGAATGAATAACAGAATTACTTTGCAAAATATATGGGAAAAGCATGCCTCTTATTTTGGTAAGGAGATAGGGAATTAAGGCTGTTACTCTGAAGAAGAAAGTGAGAAGCCAGAGCCTTTTATTTTGGTGAGGAGATAGAGGATTAGGGCTTCTATTCAATAAGATAGGGAAGGTTGAGGGATGCTTGCAAAAGCTTTGCACAAAGAAGTGCTGGTAGAGACTTTTATTTTGGTGGGAACACAAACTCTGTCTCTGCCCTCAGGTAACTGTGCACTATACCATCGTGGGGGCTGGTGGTACCACGCCTGTGCCCACTCCAACCTTAATGGTGTGTGGTACCATGGAGGTCACTATCGGAGCCGCTACCAGGACGGGGTCTACTGGGCCGAGTTCCGCGGTGGGGCGTACTCTCTGAAGAAGGCTGTTATGCTGACCCGGCTTGTGCGGTTGTGACTGTCCCTTTAGTACCCCCAAGGGTATTTCTATCTCCTTGAGACAGTATCTTATAGCAACACAAGGTGTCCACACACCGTGTCTGTCGTTCCTGTGTGCGTCCGGTCAGGGTCACTCTCGGGGCCCAACATCCTCCTCGTCCTCCTCCTCCTCCTTCAGGTCTTCCAGGATGAGATGGTCCAGGTCGTCCAGGAGGCCACCTTGGCTCAGGCACGTGGCCACCGTGGAGCCGCTGCTGATGTGGGGGTTGCTGGGGTGCAGCACTCTGGGGAGGTGGTTCTGCTTACGGCTTTTGGGGTGGGCACAGGAAGTCCCAGGCACATGGGGCTCTAGGGGAAGGAGAGTTGCTGAGATTCTGGAGGCGGGAGGGGTCTGTGGCTCTGCAGGGACCCACTGGAGCCGTACGACACAGGGATCAGAGGTCATAAAATTTACAGGTGTTCAAACTCTTTAGGGAGGTGGGAATGTGGCCACAAAGACAGACTCACAGGTCGTGGGGACCATGGGAGTCATAGGCTGGGCACTATGGAGCTGTTGGGAACTCCACGGGAGGAGTCGGGGAGCAGTCAGCTCTAGGGAGCCATAGGGGACCCAGGGAAGGAGGGAGCAGCCAGGGGTCTGTGCACAGGGGACGCAGAATGTAGGCCGAGCACCAGGACCTCACCTCTCCGATTGTAGCAATCTGCGGCTGAGCAGGAGTGGGTGTGTGTGCTGCGCCGATCCAGGTCGCGGTCCCAGCGTGGGGGCAGGATCCGAGTGGGATACACAGGGAAGCCGCACCCGTAGCAGGGTGATGGGGACCCCATCTGTGCCCAGCCCCTGGGGGCCAGCAGGGCCGTGAGGGGCTGAGGGGGCAGCTGGGCCCTCCCCCAGGGGACAGGAGGAAGGGACGAGGCTGGGACTGGGCCGAGGGTGGGCTGGGGTGGGACAGGGCCCTCACCGGAAGTTGTGTCGACACTTTGGGCAGTGGAACTCGGCCAGGCCCCACATCTTATCGGCTGGCACTGGGTCATAACGTTTCCGACACTTGCGACACCTTGACACCTGAGAAGGCAGGGAAGGGCCAATGTGCAGGGCTGAGACAGGGTCTCACATGGCCCAGGCTAGCTTTGAACTCCTGACCCTCCTGTCTCCATCGCTCAAGAGCTGGGATGCCAGGCTGCATCCCTGTGTCTGGTACGTGGGCTTCAGTAGTGCGCTGCTAGCGCTCAGACTACCGGAGCCGCAGCTCAGCCCTCATCAGAAGCATACTAATAATCAAGATATTAGGAAGCCAAGCTGGGCGTGGTGGTGGTGCACACCTTTAATCCTAGCACTTGGGCAGAGGCAGGTGGGTCTTGAGAGTTCCAGGCCAGCCAGGACTACTTGGAGAGACCCTGTCTACAGAAAAAAAGAAAAGAGGTTAGGAAACCAGATTTGGGGTTGATTTCTGCCCCAGCTGTCAAAGTCAAACGTTTGACTTCTCAAGTCTGTGACTCAAATGAATGAGTTCAGCGGGATATTGAAGTTGGGCTTGTCTAGCATGCGTGACGCCCCTGGTTCTGCCCCCAGCCCCGCGTGAACCAGGTGTGGAGGCAGGAAGATGAGGAATTCAAGGTCATCCTTAGCTACACACTGAGTCTGAGACCAGCCTGGGCTACATGAGACCCTCTCAACGAGCAGAAAAGGGGGCTGGGGAGATGCTTCAACGGTCAGGAGCATTTGTTATTTCTGCAGAGGACCCGGGTTCAGTTCCCAGCATCCATGTGTCACTGTGGTGCATGGACACATATGTGAACAAAATACTAGTACGCATAAAATAAACCTAAAATACTAAAAATGAAGGCAAAAGGTGGAGATTTGGCTCAGTAGGTGGAGCTTTACCCATGAGTTCAAACCCACAGCACCCACGTAAGAGGCAGCATGGCTAACTGCATGCACACAACCCTAGTGCTGGGGAAGCTGAGACAGGAGGCTTCCTGGGCCGTGCAGCAAACCCCTTAACGGACTGGTGAGCCACAGGGCTCAGTGAGAGACCCTGTCTCAAAAAATAGGGTGGAGCAACTGAGAAAGACACCACCACCAAACTCTGGTCGCGACAGGTACACACACACACACACACACACACACACATTTCTGGACAGATCAGGAGGGAATCAAGATACGTCTGGGGCAGTACCTCCTTCCTCTGTGGCACCCGGCGCCACCACACGTGGTCACAGGAGGAGCAGGCAAACTGTCGGTCCACGGCAGGGATGAGGTCGTCTTGGGCTCTTTGGAACATTCGAAGATTGGCTTCTGTCAGGGGCAACAGAGAGGTGGCCACTGCCTGCAACAAGGATGAGTGGGGACAAACAGGGTCACCTCTGCCTCTGGAGCCCACTGTGAACACTCACTGCTGCACCACGGGTAGCTAGCATCTCCCTGTTCACACCCTGCCTCAGCCTAGCCACTGACGCACCTGGATATCTCGGTCTTGCTTCATGTCCTCGGGTGGGTCCTGAGGGGAGACACGGAAGGGGAGTGCAGAAACTGGAAAGGCTCTCAGGGTGCTATCCCCGTGTTTAATGAGGGAGGAGCCTGCATGGGGCTCCTGGACCGGAGACAGGATCCTGGCTCTATATAGATGCAGCCAACATGAAACATTATTGCCTGTGTTGAGAGCTTTTCTGTGCCACCGGAGCTGGGTCTGGTGGCACAATCCAGTCATTCAAGTTCTTGGGAAGGTAAGGAAGGAGAACCACAGGTAATTGAAGGCTGGGGCATGGCTCAGTATTGCCTACAATGCATGAAGGCCCAAGAGGAAGCCTAGACAAAAGCACAAACAATGTCCCAAATATCCTTAAGAAGTAAATAGTTGGGGCTGGAGAGATGGCTCAGTGGTTAAGAGCACACTGGCTGCTCTTCCAGAGGTCCTGAGTTCAATTCTCAGCAACCACACGGTGGATTAAAACCATTATTTTAAAAAATATTTTTATTTATTATGTATACAGTGTTCTGTCTTCATATATACCTACTCGCCAGAGAGGGCACCAGATCTCATTACAGATGGTTGTGAGCCACCATGTGGTTGCTGGGAATTGAACTCAGGACCTCAGGAAGAGCAGTCAGTGCCCTTAACCTCTGAGCCATTTCTCCAGCCCGATTAAAACCATTTTAATGAGATCTGGTGCTCTCTTCTGGCCTGCAGGCACACATGCAGACAGAATACTGTATATATAATAAATAAATCTTTAAAAAAAAAGTGAATACTTTTGCTGGTCTCATTTCTGAGATGGCCCAGAATCTGAAATCAGTCAGTGATCATGGCCCATGCAACTCAGAGCCCTGTATAACTCCTCCATCTGCAGAGGCCACACGTGACACCCGACCTCTGATGCCACGTGGCTTTAAAGATTCAAGTTTTTAAATGTGTATGTGTGTCTCCCTGTGTACATAGACACATGTGCAGTGCCCATGGAGGTCAGAAGAGGGTGTCAGATCCCCCGGACCTGAAGAAGTTGTGAGCCGTCCATGTGGGTGCTGGGAATGGAACTAGAGTCCCCTGTGAGAGAGAGCAAGTACTCTTGACAGCTGAGCCACCTCTCAGCTCCTTGGCCACAAGGCTTTAGAAGGTTCTGGGTTTGGGGGCTTGCAGCCATGTGGCTGCAGGTCTGAATGGCTGCTCTTTTGCTCCCAGATGGGTCCTCACAGAGGGGCCTCTCAGGGCCCAAACTTCATTACACATGGATAGAGTTTGAATCCCTGAAGCCAAATGCTGGTCCCCAGACCCTGGTGAAAGTCATAACACTGAGCTGTCCTGTGTAATAGAATTGCCTCCAGGAACCCTGAAAGACAGAGAGGTAGAAGGATGAACCAAAACCTGGAGGTCCGCCCATCGGGCGCTCTCCGTGAAGGTGACTTCCTTCTAGTATTAATATGTCATATTGTTTATAGACCGAAGCTTAAAGAATGTGATCTGTCAGATACTTTTAGGTGCCTAGCATGGTGGTGCAGGTCTTTGATTACCAGCTTGGGAGGCAGAGGCAGATGGATTTCGGTGAGTGAAATGCCAGTCTAGCCTATAAAGTGAGTTTCAGGACAGTCCTGAGCTTCATCGTGAGACCCTGTCTCAAAACAAAACAAAACTCTAGTATGTCTTTCGAGCAAGTTCATACACAGAATACCAGCCAGGGAAGCGACTGCATGGATTCAGTTGTCCGTACACCCCTTCTCCATCGGGGCCTCTTTCCTCCCCAGCCCGGCCCAGCCTTTCTTCTAGAGCAAGGCAGAGTTCCCTTGAGCCTTCCTCAGCAGCCAGGACCTCCTTATCCGACTATCCAGTCTCCTCCATTTGAGATAACCCGCACAGCAGGAGCACCCACTGCTTGGGAAAAGGAAGGAGCCTACATAGCGAGGTGGGCTCTCACAGCTGTGGTTTTGTTCCTTCTGCTGGAGAGAAGAGGGATTCTCCCCTTCCTGTGAGGGAGAGAGGGAGGACAGGTTACCTGAGCGTCCAAATCGTTGCTCAGCTCTTGTCCGTCTTTCTGCTTGACACCTAGTGGGAAAATATGGGAGGGTCTCTTGAAGGGTGTGTAGGAGTTCCAGGCGGTGGAGAGCCTCCCGTCTAGGGGGCCAGGGTCGCTACAGCGATTCTTAAACCACACCCACTCAGTATTCTCCCGTGGGTTGACTCACCGTACACGATAGAGCGCCCTACTCCGGTGTGGTCGCTGCCAAACTTCCTCATAAGAGCCCCTGCCTTCTTGGGGGACACTTTTCCATGAAACTTCTCCCGGAGGCGCCTGACGCTCTTCTCCAACTGGGGCGGATGGGGGTGAACTCTGGTGTGGGGGGCGACGGGGGAGCAGCACCCGTCCCTTCATTCTCCTCAACTTGACCCAGGCTTCTGGCCTCCGCATCCCCATCCCCCCTCCCTTTAATCCATTTCCTGGAAAAATCCAAAGTTCTCCAGGCATTGGGGGAAGGGGGATGGTGGGGACTGCAGCGCGTCCCAGACTCCCGGGTGCGAATCTGGGGTCCGGCTGGATGCAGGCCAGGTTACCCCTTTTCCTTCTGACCTCTGACCCTGCAGCCCCGCTGTGCCCGGGATGGAGGAGGGAGGCGGCCCGGGGGGTCGGGGTGTCCCCGGAGCCCTCCCCGCGCGGCCTGTCGCCGGTGGCGCAGCTGTCCTACCTCCACGCCGTCCTGAGCCATGGTGGCCGCTGCACACCTGGCCGCGCCCGGGTCCGGGCCCCACAGGGCTGGGTGGCGCCGGCGCGGCTCCGCCTCCCTCGGTCCCCTCTTTCGGTTTCGTTTCTGCGCGAAGCTGGGGACCCCGCGGGGACCCCGCCCCGGCCGTCCGGCTGTGCGTCTGCTCGCGCGCCCCGCGGTGCTCCCGGCGGTGCTCCCAGGCCTCGGCGCGCGCCTCCCCGCGTCCTGCGCAGCAGCGCGGCCGGGCCGGGGATGCAGCGCGCGGCCTCTGCAGTCGGTCACATGTCCCCACGCTGCGCGGGGTCCGCGTCTTCACGTCCCCCGTGGGGGCGGGGCCGCGGACGCGGGTCTTGGTGCTCCCACGATGCTCCTCCCACTCGGAACCCAAAGCTTCTTAGGACCCCGGCAGCGCTTATGCTCTCCTCAGAAGCTCTGACCTCTGCAGCGTCTCTCTCCCTAGGTTCCCCCCAAGCCTCAGTTTCCTTCTCTGTACAATGGGCATGCAAGCCCGGCATGGTGACACACACCTGTCACCCTAGCATTTGAAAGGTGGGGGAGAAAGATTAGGAGTTCAAAACTGTCCTGGCCCACGTGGACCCTGTTTCAAAAAAGAAAAATATTCTAGGACAAAACAAACTTTTTTTTTTCAAGCTTTATGGACTTCTGGAGCAGAGAATGGGCCCCAGATTTGAGAAGCCTGGGTTTTTCCCAGGTTCAAACCCCTTCCTTCCGGCAACCCTCTTCTGTGCCTTTTTTAGTACAGGGGTTGGATCTCAACTCCCCCCCCCCAAGCCCGATGCTTGTTTCTGTGTGTGTTGTGGCATTGTTCACAACACAAGAGCCATGATATGGAATCCACCTACATGTCCATTAATAGGTAAAGGATAAGGAAAATGTGGTTTGTGCACACCGTGGAATATTATTCACCCATACAAAAGAGGAAGCCGTATTATTTGCTGTAATAGGGACAAGACTGGTGGACATTATGTCAAAGTATATCAGCTCTTGGAGTTCAGTCAGTGGAGGCTGAAGAAATGATCTAGACACTGTAGCGAGGGGGGCAGTGGTGACGGGTTACGGTGTTGCCCTTAGCATGCCATAGTAAATTCCAGCGTGCTGACTACTGTTTCAAAATAGCTAAGAGGCTACAGACTCACAGGAAGAAACATCTGTTTGTTGTGAAGCTGGAACTCCATTTCTATCCTTAGTCCATACTCACGGTGGTAAAATGTTATGCTGTAGCCCAAGAAATATGAGTCATGTGCCAGTCAGAAACAAAAATCAGAGTCAGACGGTGGTGCACACCTTTACTCCCAGCACTCAGGAGGCAGAGGCAGGGGGATCTCTGTGAGTTTGAGGCCACCTTGGTTTATATAGAGAGTTCCAGTACAGCCAGGGCTACACAGAGAAACCCTGTCTAGAAAAAACCAAAAGTGATAAACAAGGCAGTCCCAACACATTAGTATAATTGGCTCACAGGTGGCTGTCACAGCTCCGTGCCTTGGATAAGGGGTGTTGTTTATTTGGAGATCCCTAGGCTGTACGGTGAGGGCTTGTCTCAGAACAATCACTCTTTATGCTTTTTGGAGCTCATAATCTTTTATTTTTAATATTTTATTTTATTTTGCATGACAGAGTTTCTCTATGTAGCCCTGGACATCCTGAAACTCACTCTGTAGACCAGGTTGACCTCGAACTCACAGAGATCCACCTGCCTCTGCCTCCCGAGTGCTGGGACTAAAGCCACCACTGCCCAGCTGAGTTATGATCTTTTACATTTTATTTTTATGTCTTTATTTTTCTTTGAGACAGGGTGTTGAGTAAGCCGTCGGATGGCCTTGACATCCCTCTGTAGCTGAGGATAGTCTTGAACACCCATCCTACTGCCTCACCTCCACAGTGCTGGGATCTCAAAGCATGGATTGCCACGCCAGTCACACACTGCACATGTCTGTCAGCTGACTTCTGTGTGACATTCCTCGGTTTGGAGCTAGAACAACTCAATGAGACAAATCCAAGTGGTTTTTGAATTAGCAAGTATCAGCCGAGCAGTGGTTAGCCGCGCACGTCTTTAATCCTAGCCCTCTGGAGGCAGAGGCAGGGGAATCTCTGTGAATTTGAGGCCAGCCTGGTCTACAGAGTGAGTTCCAGAACATCCGCGCACGTCTTTAATCCTAGCACTCTGGAGGCAGAGGCAGGGGAATCTCTGTGAATTTGAGGCCAGCCTGGTCTACAGAGTGAGTTCCAGAACATCCAGGGCTACACAGAGAAACCCTGTCTCGAAAAACAAACAAAAACAAAAATAAGAACAAAAAATAAAAGAAAGGAAAAAAAGGAGAAAATTAGCAAGTATGATGTTATGACCATGATGCTTACGAGGTGAGGAGTAACCAAGGAGGGATCTAATTTGTGTTCCTCAGAGAATACACTAGATTTTGGAACTAGACACACGCCAAACGCCCTTGGTAGCACACAGATCTGTGGTTTGGATTTTACCAACTCTGTTCCATCGAACTTTTCTCAGAATGCATCTCCAGGCAGAGATGGAGGAACCTGTTCAGGCCTGTGCTCAGGTAAATTTGGTGAACATGGAAACTGCAGGCTGGCACTGGGCTCAGTGAGGAAGCCCCTGCATAGCATGGAACCCTGGGTCCCATCCCA